CGCTCGCGCCACTCTAGGGATGAAGCGCGCAAAGGGGGCCGTGCGAAACCCGTGCGACCGACAACTAAAATAACAAAACCGGGGGAATTTTTTGCTCAAATTGACGTGAGCAAGCGCACTCCTTGGACTTGATAAGTGACAATTACCGCAAACATGAAATGGGTTGACCTAGACTATTTTCAGGTTCTCCTTTTTGAGAGAGATGTGTACGGTTGTGGGCTCTCAGCTGGTTTAATGGTGATTATCTGTCCAAGCGGGTTGCGGTTGTGTGAATACAAATGGACCGTGGTTATTATCACAAATGACTCATGATGGGATTAGCGGTCTCGGAGGTGGTGAAACCTCCATTGGTAGAGCCATGCAGGGGAAACTCCAATGAAACCCCAATATTCCATGGGCCCTGACCACATTTATTGTGGTCACTGAAACCACCTGAAATGACAAACCTTGAGTTGTAACAACATCTTTCAAAGTCTCAGTGATATCTTGCACAAATGAGCATTGAGAGAGTGCCCATCGCCTGTTAACAACACTGAGCCAGTGGTGGAAATTCCAGGGTCCTAGGGTCCTATGGCGAAGCTACTCAAAAAACAATCACTGATGACTTAAACACAAAGTGGTAACTATTTTATCGACCCCAAAGGGATGATGGGCTGAGTCAAACCCCGAGCAGGATTTGAACTTGCAACTTTCCGATTGCAAGCCGTTCGCTCTACTACTGAGACAGCTGGCCTGCTACCAACATGTTAATCGCCACTAAAGTGAATTATCCAATGACCCTATTTGTTAAGTATGTTATGATTCATGACATGATCCGCTTTTACACAGAAACTGGAATCCATAAATATTAGTCACCTCCCACGGTACCAAATTCTGATTTGGCCCATGAACTGCAACCGCAAGTCCTTCAATCCCACCACTCCTACTCCTCCACAGCTCAGCTTGACATTCTTACCAATCCAACATCAAGCTGCAAATCAAAGCTTTCCAGTGTACACGTTTGTATGTATGCACGTTGAACTTCTTCCGCACCCTACGTAGCCAACCGTGCTAATCGGAGGTGCGTTTAACGGGTAAGACAGGCGGGCATGTCCGAGGCCCTGCCGTGACTCGTGAGGACATCTGGCCTGGAAGACATTCCGATAAGGGGGTCTTGTGATGACCTCAACCACCCAAGAAGGCGCTTTAGCCTGTCCAGAGAAGGCACGTGTCTGTGATTGCGTTCGCGAAGCGGCCTTTGATCCTCCGCACGCCACAAATTGTGCATCTCGCGTTTCTTGTGCAAACCTTTGGATTGTCTCGGCGCAGGCCAGCATTCTCCTTGTGCGCGATAAAAGTGCCGGATCATTGGTTGAACCATCAGCCGTGGATTTAACGTGTTACCGTTTAACCCATCAATGCTGACGACATACGTGTGCCAATAGTCTTACCCGTAAGGTTTCACAGCCACTGGTAAGCCAAGTGTGGTATTCTGTGCTTTGAGAATGTATTCTCTGAAGCTATCGCCGCGCAGTGCTGCGGGCAGCTTCAGGAGTACTGACTCACCTCCCGACGCTTCCCCACGCAGCAGTGCCTAGCGAACTGGAGACCCATGCTCGAGAATTCTGACAGTCGTTTTGTCGATCCACTGCTGGATGAAGGTGCTGACTAACCGCTGCGCTACCGCTCCCCACTGTTTAAGCCTACGCCGAGAATGCGTGCTTTAATGTTGTAAATGAGAATATATTGTATTCAGCCTGCTTCACTGAGCACTTGCGATACATATCCACACCTGGTGAAGTCGCCACAGTCCGAGTCAAGTGTGCACAGAGTTGCTGCGAACGTGAATTCGTACGCTGTGGAGCCACAGCCATCAAATGCTTCCACGTGTTGGGTTCCGTGACAGCAGTGCCGGGTTTTGAAAGACCCAGCTCGCAACGAGCTCTTAAAGCGTGAATATTTAAAACAAAAATTCGTAGAGCGGAATTTTGGTAGAGCGGAAACTCTCCTCGTCTGTGTGGCGATGTGGTGCGGGCAAACGTCACAGATCATATAATCCGTAAAAATGTACTCCACTCGTTCACGAAAGAAAAAAAAAGTCTGCGTATAATTGTAAATATGAAGGATGGTGGCGCGGATAATACGAGTGTTCGTGGACCCTACAGCTCCCGTGGATAATAGGATTCGCGGTTGATAGGGTGGCGGATAAGAGCGGGGTTCTACTGTATTCAACATTGACAGTGCCCAGCCTGTACAATTCATACGTGTTCGAACCTCGAACCGCGCTCGAACCTCGAACCGCGTTGGAATCTTTATGCAACGTCGAGATTTTAGGAAAAGTAACAAAATAACAAAGCAATCTATTATTGTGTCTCTTTACACACAAAGCGAACGCATCTTACCGATAAAGTTCCTCCAGGATTTTACTCGTTGCACACAATACTAGTATGCGTATAAATCTATTATAATAGAGCTTGTACAATGAAAACGTGGTAAGTGGAATTAAATTACACGTACAGTATAAAAATATGAATAAAATAAGCAAAAGCCCTTTAAAAATGAGTGCCACTATTGCTAATAGAAGCAACAGTGTTGTAAACATTGCGGAAAGCACATCGGCACACGTTAATGTACGAATTGTAAAATACAATACACGTGAAAAAAAATAGCTAAGGAATTAAACTCGGTCGTTAGTACCTCCTTCAGGCCAATTTCGATTGCTGTTACTGAAACGGGGCATGTGTGCCAGATTCTCCAAACGCGGCCGCCACCTCTGAGTTACAAAAATAACACTAGGGCACATCACGGTAAAAGATGAATAATGTCTCGCAATGCTGCGAGAGTGGAGGGAATGCATGTGTATGCATCGTCATGCGTGGTGCATTATTGTTATTATGATTACGCAACTGGCAATAACCGAGACTTACAGATTCCCAGAACAGCAGCTACCTCAACGAAAGGACAATCCTGATCACTAGATTACCATTCCTTCAGCTACAACCAGCACTTCATTTATCACTTGATATTATGTCCGGAACGCTGCGTAGGCTGGCATGGAGTAGGCTAATCATGAGGCACTGCCACTCGGGTACATGCTATGCTCCTCCATAATCATCCCATGTCATTGTACCCTATATTCATAGGACATCTGGGTTACCATAAACACTATTCACGCAAGTGTGTTGCACACCACCGCACGCACCACTGCACCAAGGCACACCACCGCACATACACCACCACCGCATGCACCACCGCACGCACACCACTGCACACACCACACCACCACCGCACAACACACCACCGCACACACCACCACACACACCACTGCACACACACACACCGCAACCCCAACACACACACACACTACCACACGCACCACCGCACGCACACCACTGCGGCATGTTGAGGACATAACTAAGGCGAGATGGTGGTGGCGTCCCAACAATAATTCCCCAAAACAGCATTCCGGACCCGTTGCGTCTGACATTAAGAACTGGCGACAACGAAATCTACAATCCACAGCAATTCGTTCAGCGAAGTCCACCCCTCAGGTTGGATTATGCTGGTAGTGCCACATAAACACAACCAGCACTACCACTGACTGGCAAAACACGAGCTAATGTTGGGGCATGGGCACGTTAAGATTCCCTTTGGGGCAAGAATAATAACAAACAAAACATCTAGCTGCTTCTTTCACAGTCTTGGGGAAGGCAACATATATATTTGTAATGTAATGTACAGTTCCTATCCACTGCTGGATGAAGGCCTCACCGCACCTTTCGTTCGTGGGGGTTGTGTGACCATACTTCGCCATGCTGGTCGGGTGGGTTCCCAGAACTCGTTGAAATATCACACGCCGGCCATGTTCGGCGTGGCCAGGAAACTAAATCATGTCCCAGGGTTTACAGCACGGCACGCAAACAGCTGAGTTACCACTCTACCCAAACATATATTTAAGCTTACTACAATATAAACATATTATATACCCTTTAATATACCAGAGCCTTACTGTATGTTATAAAATTATTACGTGCATAACACTGACAGATAACACTATAGCGTCACTTCAACTTCATGTGATTACATTGTACAGTATGTCCGATTTTAATAACTCCATTCTCAATTAAGACCTCTAACAACTAGGGGGATTTTTCAAACGAAATTCCTCTTTGCTCTGCTTGCTTGTTTGCTTTGAGCCACTCCGCAAAATAATAACCTCCCCCGGGGATGGCACCAAATTAAAATGTTTTAACACCAGAACGTGAAGCGAAATGAACCCAGGCTGTTTTTTTTCCCCTTCCTCTGACACAGCCCCTGGTCATGTGTAGCCAATTATATCACACCGTTCAGCCGCAAAAACGGAATTCTCTCGGAATTCTCCGAGCGAAGTGAGCGTGACACACACACACCGAAGCAGAGCGCGTACCAGAAAAAAAAATGACCAGCTCCGCCGTGTGGCTCCACAGCAGTGCAAGGTTCTGAATTAACCCAACCCGCTGATTCTGAATAACCCATCCCGCTGTGATTCCAAACAACGCCACGGTCACCGGCTCGGGGGTTTGCAGCGTACATTCCTGCCATCAGATCCTAAAACTTGAAGTGGCTAAAACTTTTTTTCATTTACCAGGTAAAGGCCCACTGAGCTACACAGCTCTTTTTTTTCCGACGTGACCTGGCCCACAAATGATAGCTCAACTTAGCGGCTTGTCATTTGGAAATGTATAGAAATACTCTAAACACATGTTGATGCTAAATGTGGAGTGAAAAACCGAAAGACCTGGAGAAAAATCCACACGACCACGGGGAAAACATGCAAACTCCAAATACACAGGCGTCATTCAGGGTCGGGATCGAACCCACAACCTCCTATATACTGGGCGAGGTAGTTAACATCTCACCACCGTGGCATGCCCCTTATCCCCCGCGACTGACCCACCCACCCCACCACCCCCTCTGCCCTCCCCGCCCTTCGCTGCGAAGGACATGCGGTCGTGAGAGCCCCCCCCCCCCCCCCCCCCCCCCTGGAGACGACGTGGAGCGCGTGGTCCTTCGCGAAGCCGAGAAGCTTCTCCCGCCGGATTAGGTGAACGCACCCTGGGGTTAGCTGCCAAATACCCCTCCAGCCAAATGTCGTGCAAGCCCTGAACCATCCCCTGCCTCCTGTTGGCGGTGGGCGCCAATGAGATCGGCGTCGTACGACAACTCAGCGGCTTACAAGAGCCGCCCGTTCCTCGTGGCCGATTTTAAACTCGGAGAGAATTCTCGAGCCGACTGAACCGGCGACGGCCCTGACGCAGGTTTTCTCTACGAAGGAAAACAGCGACGACAGCGGCAAGCGTTCGTAAAAGCGCCCGTAACGAAACAAAAACCTCCTTTTTACTCTTCGTCACAATGAGACGTTGCTGCCATTAACTGCTGACCGACAAAAGCACGAAGAAGAAGAGGATGAGGAGGAGGAGGCCGGATATTGAGTCACGGCGACTTTTGTGCCACTGGTGATTCTCTTTATGGGAAGGGCCGTGCGAGGCTGCCTCGTGCCGGGCTTAGGACGGCTGGAAGTCGGCGGGGCGGATCTTCATGGTGGTGGTGCGCAGGGAGTAGCTGGAGCCCTTCCAGTAGTGCCACTTGACGCCGTTGAATTTGCCCGTGTGCATCCCCGACATGTAGTACATCCCGTTGAGGTTCGAGGGTCCGCAGGCATCGAACCACCAGCCTGCAAGGGCAAGAGAATGCGGAAAAGCAATTTGTCACCAGATTTCAGATGCGTTTTTTTCTTCTTCGCCCCTGTCGTTTTACTGCATGCGAGCGGAATGAAACATCTGTTTTGTGAATCGTGACGTATGTGAATTGTGTTACAATATGCTATACATTTCCCGCAACGAGCACTCGGCAAGGTGCGTTAACACACCGCTGCTGGACGGGCAGATGCCACCGGTCGTGGTGGCGGCCACACATCACCATCCCCCTCGTGTGCAGTGCCACATTTGACAGCTGCTTGCTAAAAGCTCTCTCCCAATAGTCTCGTCAGCACACCATGAACCCAACCACTTGACAGTTGGATTTCTGGCCACGGCTCATGCGATCCGGTCCTGGACTCATCCTTCACCAACCCGCTTTGACCAGCGCGATGAAGTATGGTCAAGACTGCCCTCATGACTGACACAGGACGGGGAGGCATTCATCCAGCAGTGGACTACCAAAGAGCTGACAACTTATCACTAATAAGACAACATTTTAACGAACACATTATTTACGTGGCTCTGCCATATTTGGTCTATGACGTAACACGCAATGACCTGCTTTTGCGAGAAACAACAACGGGTAGGAGACCAAATTCAGCAGAATGGCCTCGGTGGAAAGCAGACTGTACTAGGCGTTGTGGAGACCACGGAGGGAGATAAAGTATTTGGAGATGTGAGAGGTGACGACGCTTTCTAGAAGAAGAAAAAATTCCCACGGAAAGGGAGGTTTGAGACACGACGGACGTTTGGCTAAAAAAAAAAAAACGTCGGCCGGGGTCTCAGGGTGAGCGTGACAGCAGCAGGCATCCCGAGAGATCGGGGCACTGGCACTGGGATGGCATGGGGGGGCATTGCCGAAACTGGCGATGTTGGGACACCGGGGCGTTGGGGGAGTCGGCGAGGGATTGGGTTTGGTGGGCAGAGGCACCTACCGCCGGTGGCGAACTGAGAGCACTTGCAGACGCAGTTGTCGTTGTCCACGTCCTTCGTGCTAAACCCGATGCCCGACTGCCCGATGCTGCTTAGCCTCCCGGCCGTGCCAATGTAGCCCTTGTGGAAGATCCTGCAGAAGTACGGAGCGAGAGCTAATTAGTCATTCAGCTTTGGTTGGTGGCGCCCGTCGTTCGGAGCGACGGCGAAACGGGAGCGGACGTCGCCCGAGTGTCGAGGTCCCCCCGGTACACACCGCTCATGGTGATGTGGGAGTCGAGCCGTTGTTCATGAAAAACCATCGCTCGCTCTTCCCCCTCCAGCTCCGCCACCCGTCTATAAAACTATAAACTATTTTTACCAGGTAAGGCCGACTGAGCTACGTAGCTCTTTTTCAGAAGCGACCTGGCCACAAATCATAGCTCAACGAAGTGACTCATCGTGTGTACATTGATAGCAGCCAAATACTCCACACGTACGTTGATTCTAAAATTTGGAGGAAAAACCGGAGGACCCGGAGAAAAATCCACACGACCATGGTGAGAACATGCAAATTACAAATATGCAGGCGTCAGGGTTGGGATCGAACCCACGACCTCCTGTATACTAGGCGAGGTAGTTAACATCTCGCCACCATCGCGCCCTACCAAGGTATATCCACTGTTAATTCATGCTGAAAAGTTTAAGGTGAAGCACTGCAATTTTTATTTGCTCACGACAGAGAAAGGAGCCTCCATGAGGGGGGGGGGGGCGCCCCTCCCCTGATAATTTGGCCTCCTCTTCCACGCTGACTGTCGTGACGGGATATGAAATCGAACCAGCGACCTGTGGACCTTAAGTGCAGCGTACCAACCATTATACTGTCACAGAATCCTGTATGCACTTAATGTGATATACATACACGCAACTCAACCAACGGCAGTGATTTATTGAACTCGCGATCATTAGTTTTGCGCGTAGGAATCACTTTTTTGCCAATTGACGTAACTTCGTTCTAATTTGAAAGACGTTCTATTTTACAGATGGCATATGAACGCACAGGCACGCGTTCGCAGATGTGCGTGCATAGCGCTCATGCTTTGCTTTGCCATGACACGAATCATGAATTACGTGTCTGCGGAAGGAATTTCATTTTGCAAGCCTGGCAAAACGTGTACGGGTCTGAGGCAAAATCATTTGGATATCACGACGGGTACGGCTGCTTAGCTTCAAAGCGGCCCATCATGATGCTGTCATTAAAATATCTCTCTCTCTCTCTCTCCTTGTCACGTTCAGAAAATAAAAAGGCACGAATGCATTCCGCCCCGAGAGAACGTTTCGCCGGCAGCCACGACCGAGGGAGCGTGTATTTTTTTTTCCTCCCCCAAACGTCGGCGCCACGTCGTACTTTTCTCTCACGAAGCGAAGCGCTTGAATATTATCACGTTGGCTTTCGCGACCAATATCATTCGTGACAAACGTTTTCGTTTGCTTCTCGGATCATCGCGGAGCAAGACCAGAGCACGGCACTGCGTCAAGCTACCCGGCGCGTTTCAAGGGACCGCGAGAAAGCACGATCGAGGTGCGTTTGTATTGGCTGAGGTTTCCTCACGATCCAGAGAATGTCTTGTCGGGGGGGGCGGGGGGGGGGGGGACAAAAAATGTGTTTGCAATGTTCAGCCACCCGCCGCCCCCCCCCCCCCCTTTCTTATACCACATGCCAAAAACATGACAGGGCCCAAGAGATCGTAGAACTGTGCACTGGGGATATTTTAAAGACATTTATGAGACACTAAGTCTATGGGAGCGGGGGTACTTGCTCTCTTTAGAACAGTCGCGCCGGATTATAATGAAAAATTCCCCGCGTGGTCGTGGATTTTTATTTTTGTTTCAAACTTTTACTTACCGCCGGATGTTTTGCGGCGGCTGCGATTCGCACAAACACTCGCGTTTTCAGGCCGAGTTGGTGGAAACGGCCGTAAATTTCCACAATTATTTTGCGAGGCGAAAAAAGTAAAGTGTGAGGCAGACGGGGATGAAATGTGCCGCCACCTGCCCCCTCCCCCCCCCCACCCCACCTCCCGCCCCCCCGTTTGTCCTGAATTTATTTTCTTTAAAAAAAAAAACTAAATTCGGGCGATACACAAATTCCTCTGACCACCGGGGAAGCGTATTGTGGTGATGGAAGGCGACTGACGTGAATAAATGCGAACGCGTCGCGCTAAGCGGCGTGAGTCCTTGCGAACGAGCGTACGCAAGCAAGGCCGCCCCAGCGGCAACGACCCGCTTCGTGTTTTGGCTGAAATCACCGCTCACGCGCGTTTCCGTGGGAAGACGATGACAGCCCCAAGTCAGCGGAGCAAATAGCTTCGAGTTTAGACGCTCGCTGATGGACACTGTAATAATTCACCGTATTAATGACTTGCACGCTAACGTCAGCCTTAAAATTGAATACGCAGCTGGCAAAGCATTGGGAAGGGTCAGGGTAAAGGTGCAGCCCTGCAACTGCTTTGCCCCTGTCACTGCTTGCGTAAGAGCCTACCTCCTGGAGAGGCCAATCAAGAGCCCATTTGGCCTCCTCTTCCACGGCGGTCACACATCTTGTAAGAGGTGGGAGTACCCACGTTTTACCCCACTACACGCAACCTGCCGATCGACTGCGGCATACCCATCAATGCTGCTGGTTGGACAGAAGCTGTGGGGATTGGAGAACATTGCACCTTTCGTGACTGCAGGGATCCCTACTCTTTGGTTCTTTCGGTAAAGTCACGTAGGTAGAATATAAAATAAATCACGACGTTTCGGAGTGTGGTTATCCCACCTGATGACGGACGCTTGTGTTGCGCCAGAAACGTCGTGATTTATTTTATTTTATACCCACGTGACTTCACCGACAGAACCAAAAAACATTGCACCGTAGAACCGCCGTGCTGTGAGGTCGATTCGAACCGGCGACCTCTGGATTGCAAGTCCATGGGGCTAACCAATTCACCACGGCAGCATCCGCCCAAGGCCTTGTACAAAAGCCCTATTGTGTTCAGTATTTGGGCTCCGAACCACAGAGAATTCAGTGGCGATGCGCGGCGAGCTTGACGCGGGAGACAAACACCCCAAGCGTGTAAACCCTGAACTCTGGTGCTAAACTCGAGTCACGTGTCGGTTTAGTTCCTATTGCGCCAGCGTGATGGAAATCACATGGGACCGACAGGAACGCCGCATCACCGGAGCCGCGAACACTGGATTTATAGCAGGGGTGGGGGAGTCTTTTCCTTACTGAGGACCGAATTGGACTCTCAAATACGTTTTGCATGGGGCCACACTTACACTCGCACACACACACACACCTAGCTCACTTCTGTCACGGCAGGAGAGACCCTTGCAGTGACTGAGTACGCAAACATTTTGGAATCGCTAAATGAAAAAGCAGAAGCCTGAAACATTCCCCTCGAGTACCTGATTAGTGTGGCTAATGTGATATCATCTGCAGAACGTTTCTAAGCGTTAAGCCTTTACAATAGCGTGTAGGTTTTCGAGGTTGTGCTGTACAACGCTACAGTGTGCTTTCGTGTTGTGCCGCGTCTTTGTCGGCAAGACATTTGAACAACGCGCAACACACATCAGGGAGTCGGCAGGTCTTATGTGGCCGTATCCAGAAATAATAAAGTCCTGGGCCAGATATGTATGTCGATGTATAAACGTATATGCAACGAGGCCCTGGGGCCACCTCTGACCCCGCGAGCTGCCGAGTCCCCAGCCCTGCCCACGACGTCGTTTTTTTGGTTCTCAGCGGTGGCGGCGACGCTGGCTCCCCACCGGTAGTGCTGCTTCTCGGAGGCGACGGAGAAGCGCTCGTAGAGGGAGAAGGCGTGGTGGCCCTCCCAGTCGCCCAGCTCCACGCGCAGCACGTGCGGCTGCTGGCTGCTCAGCTGGTGTACCTGCTCGTTCCCCAGCCAGTGCTCTCCCGCCGGCTCCCCGAACCCCTGCCGCACGCGCACGTTGCAACACACACGAGCGCCGATTTGAAGGGATGGCCGATGATTATGGATAACAACAGTGGCAATCGAGGGATGGAACATATCTTCATGCAAAACATCCCAGAGTGCGTCACAATAATAACTCAACAAACTGTTGCCCGATCAACCCAGGTCAAAGTCAGATAACTAAAACGAACTTTGATAAATTTTAGTAAAGAGGTTTGATCATGCCAGCAGCCATTCGTGATATGAATTAGGGCGGCGTTCCAGAGGCAGGGAGCCTAACAACTCAAGGCCCTTGCCTCCTCCTGATTACAGACGACTTCTAGGAACCACCGAAAGTTCAGCAGTCACTTATCTGAAGGTGCGACTCGATGAATAAAAGTGTCCAAATTTTCTGTGGATTCAACGGCCCAATACAATTTAAGGCCGTATGTGTAGCATAAGCCCGAAAAGTGTTCTGGCACCACGTTTCCACTAATGTTAGCCGTGGCCCGGAACCAAACTCAGGTCACAGGCTTTGTAGTGCAATGCGCTAGCCAGTGCCACCACATAGCAACATACATAATATACATACATACAAACACAAAATCCGGCTTTCATAATCCTTGCTGTGTGGATGTGAGAATTGTTAAATTGCATAGCCTTTCACGACCTATATTATTCTCATTCGTTAGTGTTTTTTTTGCATCTATGTCAATTAGACACTCAAGAGCTGAGCTTTTGTTAATAGCTGACGATGCTGGACGGAATTTGCAGCTAAACGTTGTGCAAAATTGTCAACATTTTGCTTCCTTTTCTACATTTCTCCAGTTTTGCTGAAATACCAAATCAATTGGCATATTTGCCCACGACGTAACAACTTGACTTAACTTGCTCTATCGGGTGGTGGAGGGTTATAGTAAAAGATTGACATTGTATGCTATACCCCCTACACGATCAGAGCCAAAATAAACCAATTGTGAGAATCGTTATTCAACTCACCGGCAAGCAAGCTGAAACAATAATAACTGCCGCTATAAACGCTTGCACACCGCGTGACGATTTAATTTGTTTGGCTGTGTGAGGCTGTGGAGGATTTTATTGACATAATTTTGGTCAGATCATTACATGGCCTTACCCAAAATATTTTTTGTAATATTTTTGTTACTTTTTTTTTAATTTCGTTGGCTGCGGCAACCTGCGTGTTAAATCTTGCTTTCATGTAGCGAGCGAGGCTCTCGGGAAAAAGAGCCGCCGTTAGAGAACGCCAATTATATTTGGCACCACGCACGACGGTCTGGGGCGGGGGGGTCGGCGGGTCGATGTAGCGTGTGCCTATCTGGCGGCACCGGCATGAACGGCACCGTACCGCGCACCCCTTGCAAGAATTCGACTCGACGCGTACTTCAGCAACAATCCGAAAGCGTTACGACTTCTGCTCTCGCTGCTTTGTTCCCTGCTCGCCCCCCCCCCCCTCCCTCCCCTCCATTTCCTCCTGTAATGCAATCAACCCCGCTCGCCGGATTTGTACACGGGTTCAGCGAGAAACATCTTGTGCCACTCAAGAGAGGCGAGCCGGTTGACGACGCAGCAACCAAAGAGTAGAGCGACTCATTTCAAGAGGCTTCAAGTGAACCCACGAAGCATAACCTCAGGCAAACCCACGCGGTTTTTTTTTTGGTGTTTTCAAAGACAGATTTTTTTTTCTTTTCTTTCTTTTCAAAACGCTCTCCGGGAATAGGGGGTTCAAGGACGATGCGAGGAGTCGCGTTTCAGACGTTCAAGCTGTGTTGCTGAACGCGCCGGAGCGGCTACTGCCGCACAAGCTTTCCGAAGTGCACGGCGCGGGCGTTCCGCTCTCGCGCTTTGTGTGGGCAGTGGAAGCCTTGCCGGCTTGGGGGGGGCGGGTGACGGGTGGGAGAGGTGGAAATTTTGTCGTCGAAAGTAATCTCATCGGGAAGGAAAGCTCAGCGGAGTTAATTGTCGCTCGCCCCCGCATAATCTTAACTGCGCAATGCCGTAATCTGCGTTTTGCCTGTAATTGCTTTTCATTGCCACGTCACTCTTTGTCAGCGTTACGGATTGTCCATGCGGTATTGTTTTTTTCTAAATACATTTGCCATGTGCGCGTGCGTGTGCTCGGCTCCCAAGTGGGCGATTGCGAGCCGCGCGCGTGCGTGCGCGTGCGTATGTGGGGAGCGGTGGCGTAGTGGTGAGTACACTCCGTTACGGACCCGGTGACCCAAGTTTGATTCCCGCTCGTGGCTAACGTCAGCAGCGAGGGATATGAGAACCGGTCCTGGGCCTCCCCTGGGTCGAGCCAATCAGCACTGGGGAGACAAAGGTGGCTGGGTGCAGTGCTGGCTACACAACTACGTCGTGCTCGATAACATCACTTCCTCTAAGCCATATGGTGGGAACTTTTGTCTTTGTTTTGTATGTGCGCTCTCACCAGCTTGTACTCTGCCCAGGTGCGGTGAAAATCCAGGCTGCCATCACTCCGGTGCTGGATCACGGTCCAGCCGCCGCCACTTGTCTCCATGTCACACCACACCTGAGCCACAGGGACCGTCGTGCCAGCACAGTCAAAGGGAGCCGCAGAGATTCACACTTTCAGATTCGTAGAGGCCAATAATTCCTTACATGGCCTAGAAGCACTTGGGCAGCAGGTAGGGCCAGATTAAGGTTATGAGGGGCCAAAGGCTAATAGGAGGGAAGGGCCTAAGTATGTATTACAATTTTGCAACGAAAATTATGAAGTCATTAAACATATTTATTTACCTGTGTAAAATGGAACACATTCATTCGACTCAAGGTCAATGCAGGAAACATACATCACTCACTAATGTCTCTGAACCATTTTTTTCCCCTTTTAAAGTCACGAATGATGATGTCATCGTAATTCAAAGACAAATAATTTTCGATGGTCGCGCTACCGTCGCTCAGCCGTTAACTTCTATGTGGAATAGAGGGGCCTAATGGAGGGCCTACAAAATATGAGGGCCTTAGTAGCCTATGGGTCAATCCGGCCCAGAGCGGGAGGGTGGCTCAATGATAACACTTCACAACAAGAAGCGCCTGGGTTGTTGCCCTGTTGTGTGCATGTGTTTCCTCTGGGTTCCCCGGTGTCTCTTCACAGCGAAAAACACGCACAAAATGTAACTGATATTGGCTAAATATCCGAATTAATGGAAATTTACCTGCAAATTACTCAATTGGGATTACACAGCAACATTGCCCAATACCACGCATACTTGGCAGGACCTTCCTGAAAAAAAGGTCTTGAGACTCAGTGAGGCTTTCCCGGTTAAACAAGCATAGTAATAATAATAACATACACACGATTCTTGACGCATACGTTTTCTGCTCACAGGTTAATGAAAAAATGTAGAAGTTTCAGCCATCTGGCCTTCTTCAGGAAATATCGAGTTTTTTACATGAAGAAAGATCTGACAGCGTCATGTGTTAACAGCATCAGCTTAACTCCACCCATATGTTCCACAGTATTTAAGAGGCAGTGGAGAACTTTTACTTCCAAAACAAACAGTGGGAGGGGATTTATTTAATCAGGTGAGGACCTGCTAAATACGCATCAATCCTCTTGCAAGAGACCTTGTAAGTGAGACAATGAAAGGCCCTGTTATAATTCTCAAAGGAGCAGCGCTGCAATTGTGTGCCTGCGCAACTGCTGGCAGAAGGGTCTCCACTAGAGGGAGCTCGAGAGAGAAGCCCTGCCAGAGGGTGTTGTGGCCTCCTCTGCCAGACGTCTTGGTGAAGTACCCCCCCCCCCCCCCCCCCCCCCACTGATACTGCTGGGTGGACAGGGGCGAGGGGAAGGGGTGGGTGGAGTTTCTTGCCCAATTGTTTAAACTGCAGCACAGGCAGATTGACTCTAACCAGCAACGTCCCGCACACTAATAACCATTACACCATGGCTCTGTATACCTCATTAACATGCCCGCTGATGAACGTATTTGGCCTACTGTTCCACACTCGCAAATAAATTAAGGGGGTATAAATATTCGGTGTGGGTATGTTGTGGGTGTCTCTTAGCTATACACACACACATATATATGCATAACGTGAACCGATATTCTGTAACGTTGGTTTACTTGTCGCAAGTGATAATATTGACCTGTGTCGGCTCGGAGGAGTTGGAGAGCTGCACGGAGTAGACGCCGCTCTTGGTGAGGCCTGCGCCGTGCACGTCGGCGCAACTCTTGAAGGGGACTCGCTCCTCCTTGCTCACGGCGGCGGGCACGACGTGACCTGCCAACGTCAACACCGTGAAACATTTGCAAAAAGGCGGCGCCGATTCCACCAAGTCGTGCGCTACGCTCATGTGTCGGAAACATTCATTGCAACCGTTAAAACTCACGTTATTCTTCATAATAAAGGTTTTTGGGTTAGATCGCGTTATTTATAAATGTGTCGTAACCCTCCACCACCCGACATGGCCAATCAGCAAAAAAGTGTCACGTTTACAAAAGACAATTAGTTCACTACTTTAGCCCATCGGTGTGTTGAAGAGTGAATCCACAACATTTACAGTTTGAATACGAATGGCGAATTACATCCAGCATCATCGGGCGAATTGCCCGATGATGCTGGATGTAATTACCAGCGAAACGTCGTATTCAAACTGTAAATGTTGTGAATTCACTCTTCAACACACCGGTGGGCTAAAGTAGTGAACTTATTGTCTTTTGTAAACGTGACACATTTTTTGCTGATTGGCCGTGTCGGGTGGTGGAGGGTTACGACACATTTATAAATAACGCGATCTAACCCAAAAACCTTTATTATGAATAATATTGGCCGCGAAAGCCTACTAAGTGTTAAACTGTCCCGCTATTCTTCATAATAAAGCCTACTAAGTGTTAAACTGTCCCGTTATTCTACATAATAAAGCCTACTAAGTGTTAAACTCTCCCGTTATTCTACCGCGTAAGTTTTCGCGGATGCGCTTTTCGTGCTCTCCCGATGCGTTTTTTTGGGGTCATTCCGCGGTGCCGTTTCGCGAGATGTCAGACGTTTTACTCCACGTGCAGGGAGCTCCCTCGGGTAAATGAATGGGTGGTTCAAACTTGGAACTGAACTCGGTTCCTGAAGTTGCTCCAAGCTCGTGGAGCAAGACGTTGCGAAACAATAAGCCGTACAACCAAAAAACACATTCCGTCACTCTGTGACTTTTTTTTATATAACAGCAGAATTGCGAAGAACGATCACCTGTGCAGATGGAGTCGTAAGGTCCATTCGTGTGCAGGAGTGGGATGGATTGTGGCATCGCAGAACCGTGATGGATGGTGGCACAATGGAAAGGTTAGACATTGGATGATGATGATGATGGCGGTGATTAGTGATGGTAGCAGCAATAATGATCGTGGTGGTGCTGGTCGTGGTAGTGCTGGTGGCGATGGTGGCGACGATGACAATAACGATGCATGGAGGTTGTTCTTAATATGCTCATGAGAAGAAACAATTATGATTCCCAAATATTTTTTGGCCCAGATCCAGAATGAACTGGTCGGCGCCAAACGTTCACCTGAGCGACGTAAACAATGACTGGCCGAGGCCAAGTCAATTTCCATTTGCCTCAATGTAAGTTGAGTCGCTCATCTCGTGAGCAGAACATACACGCGTGGCAGCCGAAACCTAAGCCCCATTCCTGACGCCCTTCCCGGAGGAGCCGTGAGCCGAACATTTAAATTCGTTTGGATCGCAAATTAAATCAGCGCTTGCCAACATCAGAGGTAGCGCAACGGGTAGGGTGATGCGGGCCAAGCAATCTATTGGCCGGGCCGATAAACGCATTTGATAATATTTGGTTTCTCAAACAATTTTGAGAAAATAAACAACGCTGTCCAACTGAAAGAGCTCATGCAAAAGTATTCCAAGGTACAGTATCCCACGGACTTGAGCTCGAAGCGCGGGGTGTGTGTTTAGGTAAGTGAATAATTGCGTGCACTTTTCCATCTAAAATCTGAGTTTCTCGTCATTCACAGACATTGTTAGAACTGGTTTCAAAGATAGGGCCTTGTCTACCCGTCTACCCACTGATGCTGCCGTGGTCTAATGCCCGAGCACATTGGACATGCAATCTAGAGGTCGGCGGCTTGAATCATGGCACGGCAGTTGAAACAATGTTACAGGTTTCTTAAATTTCCCCCCCCCCCCCGCTCGTGCCTCTGTCCTACCGCCCACGCCTCTGTCCACCGAAAAGTATAAATGTGTCCACCGCAGTCGATCGGCAGGTCGCATATGGTCCGGTAAAGCGCGGGTACACACACCTCTTCCAAAGTGTCTGACCAGCATGAAAGAGTAGGCTAGAGTTCCGATTGAAAGGTTCTCTCTAGAGCTCCCTCAAGTGGAGTGGAGGCCCTTCCACCAGCAGTGGCATGCGCAAGCACTTTCAGGGCCGCGCCTTTGCCTCTTTACTTTTATTGTCCACCTTACAAGGAGGGGGGGGGGCTCCCTCGCCACAGGATTGATGCGTATTTAGGCAGGTCCTCACCTGGTTAAATAAATTCCCTCCCGCTGTTTATTTTGGAATTGAGACTTTGTGTTTCTCTACCGCCTCCGACTAATTTTCCCACTCATTCCCCAAAGAACTGTGCCGCAAATCCCCGTGCGTACTGTATGCATGAATTATTCCATCCTTGCTACCATGTAAATAAACTGTACGCAGATATTAATCCCATGGTTTTCCCATAAAGCCCCTCCGCTTGTTTGCGGTATAACATTTTATACCTTCAGAATTGTACATGTAATCCCATGGTCCTTCCCCTGCCCCAAGATGTACAGCGTTCTGAGATACTCGGCTGCTCTTAAAGGCTGCTTTTGGTTATTTACTCACACTTGGTCTTTATTTCCCACAATTTATTCCAGTTGGGATAGCGGCCTGTCATCAAGAGATGAAGAATCCATGTGGAAGTCTTGCAGAGCAGTGCATCCTGATTGTCAGATAATGGTTTCGACTGAAAGCATTGCGGCTCAATGTGGGTGAGCCCCCCAGCTGTGGCTCCATGTGGGTGAGCCCCCCCCCCACCTGTGTCTCCATGTGGGTGAGCCCCCCACCTGTGTCTCTACGTGGGTTTTTTTTGATCCTCCACACTAGAGGTCGCCAACCAAAACAACAAGAAGAGCAATTTGTTTCGCATTCGGTAACAACACCAAAAAACCCTCAAGAGCCGAAATGCAATTTGAATGAGGGACGGTGGGTCCTTAATAAAAAAAAAAATGTCACGAAGCCAGTCCTTAAAAGAGCCGCAGGTTGCCCACCCCTGCCCATGGTTGAACTAGACTTCCGTGGTCAGGGGTCGGCAACGAAAATAACAAGAAGAGACAATAGTATTTAGTATTTCCTTCTAATTTAAAGAGCCGCACTGCATGCAGTCGTTAAAGAGCCGCATGCGGCTGCGGATGTGCAGGCTGCCGAACCGTGCTCTACACAGCATGGAGCGCACTTTCCCACACACTCGTGTATGGAACCGTCACGAGATGGTCAAGCCAATCTTTCATTCTCGTAGCTGGAATATTGCCAATTTGAATATTATGATAGCTTATTGTGCCTGAGACCATCCACTTCTTACACTTGAGAACATGGATTAATCATGGGTGGCTGAAACCCAAATTTTAATCCAGCTTTTCAGTGGTGCCAGCTCAGTGTTTTGACCTTTGAGCTTACATGGCCACCTCCTAGGTGGCTGCTTAGATGCATATTGTCGTTATAAAACACACTAAATGTATTATACTGTGAACATGCTGCAGTATCCCACGCCCTCGTGATGCAACAAACAATATAGCTACACGCATGTGGGACAACCCCGATGGTGACTGTGGTGATGGTGGCTGTAGCGATGGTGACTGTGGTGATGGTGGCTGTAGCGATGGTGACTGTGGTGATGGTGGCTCTAGGCGGCAGTGTTCGTAGCGGCTGTAGTGGCCGTGGATTCAAGTGGCTGCTGCTGTAGCGGCGGCGGCGGGGGCACGACGCGCAGGGTGCCCGGGTGACGCTGTCGCCTGCGCCGCTCACCCTGCGCGTACTGCGGCAGCAGGGCGAGCAGGGTGCGCACGCTCTCCGTCAGCTCCTGCTGCTGCCGCTGCAGCCTCGAGTTGTTGGCGGTGGCGGCTCCGAGCTGGCGCTCGAGCGCGCCCACCGCCTGGCTCTGCCTCCCCACCAGTCGCTCCAGCTCGGCCTTCTCCTCCCGCAGAGCGCGCAGCTCCGCGTGGTGCTTATCACCCAGCTCCCACAGCCGCACCTCCAGCTCCCTGCGGGCAGGGGAGGGGGGCAGGGGAGGGGGTGGAGTTGAGCAGGGAAGGGGGCAGTGGAGTGGGCAGGGAAGGGAGCAGGGGAGGGGGTCACACGCACGACGCGCGTTTGCGGCGTCTCTCGGCCACGGCTAAACAAGTGGAGGGGGGGGGGGGGGGGGGTCCGGACCCTCGCTGCACCCACGGCGGCCGCGCCACTGAGGAGCTGCCGGGAATCGTCTCCACCTGACGGCCGCGCAGTGCGACTCGACGCGGCGCCCTCACTTGTTCTTCTGCGCGAGGCGTCCGATGTCCTGGGTCTGCAGCAGCAGCTGCTTCTCCAGCTTGTGGGTGGACAGCGAGTTCTCCAGCAGCTGGATCTCCAGCCGCGACGTCTGGTTCAGCACCTGCGACGGCGCGGTCACTCGTGGTCACCCTTAGTCACCCTTAGTCACTCGTGGTCACCCTTAGTCACCCTTAGTCACTCGTGGTCACCCTGAGTCACCCTTAGTCACTCGTGGTCACCCTTAGTCACCCTTAGTCACTCGTGGTCACCCTTAGTCACCCTTAGTGACCCTTAGTCACTCGTGGTCACCCTTAATCACCCTTAGTCACCCTTAGTCACTCATGGTCACCCTTAGTCACCCTTAGTCACTCGTGGTCACCCTTAGTCACCCTGAGTCACCCTTAGTCACTCGTGGTCACCCTTAGTCACCCTTAGTCACTCGTGGTCACCCTTAGTCACCCTTAGTCACTCGTGGTCACCCATGGTCACCCTTAGTCACTCGTGGTCACCCTTAGTCACTCGTGGTCACCCTTAGTCACCCTTAGTCACTCGTGGTCACCCTTAGTCACCCTTAGTCACTCGTGGTCACCCTTAGTCACTCGTGGTCACCCTTAGTCACCCTTAGTCACTCGTGGTCACCCTTAGTCACCCTGAGTCACACGTGGTTACCCACGGTCACCCTTAGTCACTCGTGGTCACCCTTAGTCACTCGTGGTCACCCACGGTCACCCTTAGTCACCCTTAGTCACTCGTGGTCACCCTTAGTCACCCTTAGTCACTCGTGGTCACCCTTAGTCACCCTTAGTCACTCGTGGTCACCCTTAGTCACCCTTAGTCACTCGTGGTCACCCACGGTCACCCTTAGTCACTCGTGGTCACCCTTAGTCACCCTGAGTCTCTCGTGGTCACCCTTAGTCACCCTTAGTCACCCTTAGTCACTCGTAGTCACTCCAGTCACCCACCTGTGTCTCCATGTGGGTGAGCCCCCCCCCCCCCCACCTGTGTCTCCATGTGGGTGAGCCCCCCACCTGTGTCTCCATGTGGGTGAGCCCCCCCCACCTGTGTCTCCATGTGGGTGAGCCCCCCCCCACCTGTGTCTCCATGTGGGTGAGCCCCCCCCCTCCCCACCTGTGTCTCCATGTGGGTGAGCCCCCCCCCACCTGTGTCTCCATGTGGGTGAGCCCCCCCCACCTGTGTCTCCATGTGGGTGAGCCCCCCCCACCTGTGTCTCCATGTGGGTGAGCCCCCCACCTGTGTCTCCATGTGGGTGAGCCCCCCCCACCTGTGTCTCCATGTGGGTGAGCCCCCCCCCTCCCCACCTGTGTCTCCATGTGGGTGAGCCCCCCACCTGTGTCTCCATGTGGGTGAGCCCCCCACCTGTGTCTCCATGTGGGTGAGCCCCCCCCCCACCTGCGTCTCCATGTGGGTGAGCCCCCCACCTGTGTCTCCATGTGGGTGAGCCCCCCACCTGTGTCTCCCTGTGGGTGAGCCCCCCACCTGTGTCTCCATGTGGGTGAGCCCCCCCCACCTGTGTCTCCATGTGGGTGAGCCCCCCACCTGCGTCTCCATGTGGGTGAGCCCCCCACCTGTGTCTCCATGTGGGTGAGCCCCTCACCTGTGTCTCCATGTGGGTGAGCCCCCCACCTGTGTCTCCGTGTGGGTGAGCCCCCCACCTGTGTCTCCATGTGGGTGAGCCCCCCCCACCTGTGTCTCCATGTGGGTGAGCCCCCCACCTGCGTCTCCATGTGGGTGAGCCCCCCACCTGTGTCTCCATGTGGGTGAGCCCCCCCCACCTGTGTCTCCATGTGGGTGAGCCCCCCACCTGTGTCTCCATGTGGGTGAGCCCCCCACCTGTGTCTCCATGTGGGTGAGCCCCCCACCTGTGTCTCCATGTGGGTGAGCTTGCGCGTCTGCTCGGCCGTCTGGCTCAGCAGGCTGGTGCCCATCTCCAGCATGGCGGCGGCCGCGTGCTCCTGCTGCTGTTGCTGCTGCTGCCGCTGCTGCTGTTGCTGCTGCTGCTGTTGTTGCTGCCGCTGCTGCTGTTGCTGCTGCTGTTGCTGCTGCTGCGACGTCGCCCCCTCCACCCTCACCGAGTCCTCCAGCTGCGTGCGGCACCAACCACGGCCGTGCCGCGCCCGTTACCAATCGAGGTCGTACCCACGACGACTTTCACCCCCCCCCCCCCCACTGCTCATCACAATCGCAACTCTTCAGGGGGGGGGGGGATTTCTCTGCCCTCGGAGGGTTAAGGAATCTGTCCCAAGTCGATGGAGGTGCTATTAAAGTTTCGCCCGAAGAACCCTCAACCATCACCTGTTTACAAAGATTTCACTTTCTCTCTTTCACTCGTTCTCTTCTCGTCACATTAGTCGTTCTCTCCCCCAGTTTCTTCTTACTTGCTTCCCTCGTTTAAATTATTGACGCCCTCCGAGATCCATTGAGGGGCGCCTTATATATCTTAATTATTAGTATCTCCATCTGTGCAACATATTTTCTATTTGTCATATGACAGAGATATTTTTGTTCTGGTTTCTATTTGCTTAATCGCTCTGCTTTGTTTTGCTTTTGTAAATTTGGCGACTCGTCACTCGTGCGAATGAGACTCATCATGGTCTCGCCTGGCAAAACAAAATCAACTTAAATTTCCCGCATTCACCATTTCCCTACCCCGGCTTTTGTGCCGAGACCGTCGTTTTGTGCCTTCATCCCATCCCTCAAAATGCCTCCCCCCCCCCCGAATCCCGCTTCTACAAACTCTCGATTAATCAAAACACCTCTGCCAGGTTTCTCACCCGCACCATAAACATGACCCCCAATACCGCAATACTCCCTCCCATCACGATACCTGTCAACCCCTTATCAGTGTCCTACCTCATTACAGACCAATTCAGACCTTATCGGCCACCCCGTGCCCCTTATAAATCTCAACGTTCATCCTACAAAGTCCCATCGCAAAGGAGAAACACAAACAAATAGACAATTTATCTTTTTTTGTGCCCGTATTGAAACGGCTGTACGCTGTATGGACCTGAAAAGTCAATCTCTCCCTGCACAAGAATACGGGGTAAACCGTGCCGGTTGAAAGCTATGCATCATTCCCCTGGTTCCCAATCCAATCGCCCTCACCGTCTTCAAAAGCCTCCGTAGACTTTATCCTGCCTACCTCTCTCCTCAAATCCCACTCCCCTCCTCCTCACGCCTCCTTCCCACGCACTCTCTCCGCTCAAAAAAAATATTAAAGCTTCCTGTTAAAAAGTGTTTTGTTTGTCTCGGAGGAAACCGGAGCGCCGGGTGAAAACTCCACCACGTGTGCATATGAAAGGGATAGCGCTCCCTAAAGGTAAAAAAACCTAAATCTGCCGGCCTAGATGAGAGAGCTGTTCCAAGCGTTTTAATACGTTTTTTTTGCGTGGAATATTTGCTGGTTGAATTCCAGGATGTTTCTGTTGCTCGTCGTCGCTTTAAGATGTTCTGTGTTCATATTTTGTTTGTTGCGGTTGCACCCGACTTAAGAGCCGCATGGCTCACAGGGCTGTACCTAATACATGAAACTTGAAAACTTGAAACAATCAGCATCAGGAACAAGTGGCAAGACCGTCAGCAGCCGGCAATGCTGTACAGCTTATTGAGCTGATCCGAGTCAGTTCCTGAAGAAACTCCCAGCACGTGGAGCGAAACGTCGGACTACAGCACCCGACCATCGCACGCGGCGCAACCCGTGCGATGGTCGGGCGCCAAAGCCCGCGTAGTCAGCGAGGCCCTTCGTGGTCTGGCCATGAATCACCATCATCATCTCAGACTAGAATGGAGCAAGTGTGAGTGTTCTTGTTGCAAGGGGGCCGTCCATAAATGACGTCACGCGATTTTGGACGATTTTTGACCCCCCCCCCCCCCTCGTCACACGGCGTCACAAAAAGTCAGACCCCCCGCCCCTCAAATATGACGTCACAAAGCTCTGCCCCCCCCTCAAACCATATTTCCATTTTGAAAATAAAACGTGCTTCAAATAGCTTTAAACTTTTATCATCGTGGTGCGTATTTAATGTGGCGCTGCACTCTGATGTTGTAGGAGTGTTGTTATAACAATTAGTGTTGTTATAACAATTCTATATTTATTTAAGTTGCGCATTTTGATGTGACGTCACATTTCTCAACCCCTCCCCCCCACTCGTCACACATCGTCACAAAAATCTGCCCCACCCCAACCCCCCCAGGTGCGTGACGTCATTTATGGACGACCCCTAACAGCTCTCTCGCTGGTTCAGCAATTCCACTACTGGATTATTTTTTTTCCCGCCTGAGGACGACCGCTTGTGTTGCGATCGGAACGTCGCGGTATATTATTGTTTGTTTTATTTTATTTTCTACCTACGTGACTTTACCGAATTAACCAAAGAGTAAGAAGTGTGAGTGTGTCTGTAGCGGGGAACAGCTGGGTGCATCTGCCGGTCATCTCAGTTATAACCAACCCATGGCACCTGCTGGGTCTGTCCCGAGACCTCTTCCTGTCAGCGAGACTTCGACACTTCACGTGGCCTCAAAGTGCACCTAGCCTGGCACAGGCGCCGTGGAAGTCTCCGTCACTTCGTGGTTTACTCTCCGGATTTTTTTGTTCTTTTTTTAAAAGCCCCCTTTTTTTTGGAGCGCGTAACAATTTTCCAAAACGTTAACATGCAACGAAGTATCGATTGTACGAATGTTTTTTTTTAATGCCGCTCAAAAAAAAGTCGATTTAAAACGTTTGGGCGAAAACTTTCTACGGTGACGCTCCAGGTTTACGACAGTCAGATTCGCGCGCGCGCGCGGCTTTACGACGTCCACATTAAAGTGCAACGACCAATTGTCGATTTACGGCACAAAAAGAAGACTTCATTTACGACTCCCCCCGCCACCCCCCCTCACGATCCTCCAACGCGATTCCTGGATCAGCTGGAGCGGCGAAGATTCTCGTGATAACGCCCCGAGGGTTCGAGTTACTTCGGAAAGGGAAGAAGAAGACGAGGTAAGAAAACGTTACTTTGAATCATTTGGGAGCGAGAACATTTTTTTTATTTGATTTGATTTGTGTCAATTTCGGTAAAAAAATCAATGTGGTGGACAATACTGTGCAACTTAGCGCTATTGGCCTATTAATGTACTAGCTTTTAAAATTGCCCGTCCAAGGACGATTTATATTGCAGTACATCTGGAATATTCAATAGAAAAATTGTTCAGCTCATGCGGAGTGACGTCACCCGCGAATGGTTATTGTGGAGGGGTGCGGTATGTGGAGTGACGTCACCCGCTAATGGTTATTGTGGAGGGGTGCGGCATGTGGAGTGACGTCACCCCCTCATCGTTATTGTGTAGGGGTGCGGCATGTGGAGTGACGTCACCCGCTCATGATTATTAATGAGGAGAGGGGTGCGGCATGTGGAGTGCGCGACCTTGTGCGTGAATGTAAATTTACACGCGGGCATGAATATTAATGAAGGGGGGGGGGGGCTCTTTTGCAGGGACGTCACGCACGGATGTAGCAGTGTGCTGCGTAGATTTATTTTTTACCGTCAATTTCTGTAAAGAAACGTCATATCTGAAGCGACTTTGCTTCATGAATTATTTAATTCAGCTAGATCTTCCTCTGCGTTAGTGTAAAAATCCACCCATTCATGAATATTATTGAGGGGGGGTGGTCCTCATGTGGAGTGACGTCACGCGGGAGGTGTGCCTCATGTAGAGTGACGTCACGTGGGGGGGTGGGCCTCATGTGGAGTGACGTCATGCGCGGGACATTCTTGACTTCGGGGCCGTCCATAAATGACGTCACGCGATTTTGGACCATTTTTGACCCCCCCTCATCACACGGCGTCACAAAAAGTCAGACCCCCCCCTCAAATATGACGTCACAAAGCTCTGCCCCCCCCCCCAAAATATAAAACATGCTTCAAATCGCTTTAAACTATTGTCATTGTAGTGCGTATTTAATGTGGCGCTGCACTCTGATGTAAGAGAAAACATTTATTTGAAAGTATATTTAATTAAGTAGAACGTGTTGTCTATATTTATTTAAAGTTGCACATGCTTCCTTGTAAAACGTTTGAGTTTAGTGTTTTAACATCTTAACACCTGTTTTGTTGCCAGAAAAAAGGGGAACACCTATTCTCTTATAGTATTAATGTAGCACGAGGGGACTGTTTTCTAGCATGTTATAGCATTAAGAATGGATAATACTTTACACATGCACTTTTCAATTCTACGTATATGCACTTTGGTAAATCTACATTGGAAACTCATTGCTGTAAGAGCTGCTGTTTGGGTGTTTAGTTTGTTGTCCTTCCCCCGCACCTCCGATTAGCCACGGTTGGCAACGTACGGTGCGAGAAGTTCAACATGCAGTGCATACATAACACTGTACGGTATTTGACTAAATCCCATATTTCTAGCCTTTTTGTGTGTGTGCATGTGTGAAAAATCTCGTCTCTAGCCCGTCTTCAGGAGGAATATAACCGCCCAGCGTTTTGGAGTCGACACGAGACGAGGACAATTACCGGGGAGACATTTGGAATCTTGCTCCCTTCTGGCAATGTTTAAGTCACCGCGAATAATAATGCACATGGCAATATTCGCCCGTTGGAAGCAGCAAAGGGGCATTAAGATTCTGCCTCGCGATGGCTTCGTATCCGGACAAAGGTGGAAAATGCACGGATAACGTGGGTCCTATGAAGAGGTTTAGAAAAAATTACGTTTTTGAAAGAAAAAAAAAACCTGAAGGTTATTTTCTCTATATTTCTTACTTAGAGTAGTTCAGATGTTATTCCAGGTTAGTTCTTCGTGGGTTGTCATTGAAGCCCAAAGGCTCCGAACCCCTCTGCGGACCTAGGAAATGACGGTCTATAGGGCCTGGAATCTTCTTATCGTTACAAACTACACATCCACGTCTGTGCTTGCAGACGCTTCTGTCTGCTAAGTCCTGCAGTTTCCCACATGCACAGACATTAACGTCAGACCAACATGTCACAATACGTTCGTATATGAAACTTCACATGGTGATATGATCACAATTCGGTTAGAGGCTTGCAAGAACGCTTAAACTCTATTTAGGTTGATAAGATTAAAGGCCTTA